CGGTGGGTTTTTCGAGAAGTTGTTGATCGTGTAATTACCAAAGAGCCTTTCGTCTTTGTGTAAGTGTTATTGAAGCGTTTGGCCTAGTAGATTGTATATCAGTATACCCTTCCAGGCTTTGAAGAAGGCGATACTGCCGAAACGTCAGCTAGCGTTGTATTGTATTGTGTTTTTATGGAAGTAAATGTCTGCTGTTTAAAAACCTCGCGATTGCTGAACAAGAAAACGACACGTTAAGATTATGATTATAGCTATAGCCTCAGCTTAACTGAGTTCAATGCCGATTTGGGCTTCCCAGATCAATCCCATTGACAGGTGGTTGCTGACGGCGTTGATCGATAGAACTAGATGAGAAACAGGTGAAATGAAGGACCCGCATGGTGTGGTGGTGAACGCGTTACTCCTCGGAAAGGACACTAGCGCGTTCGTTCCCCACCGCAAACACCTGCGGTCCAGAGTTTTGCAAATATCTCAGCATTATAGAAGGATGTTAGTATTAAAGAAAGGAGATCTGGAAAAAAAAATAAGAGACTCACCGGTCATTTTGGGTTAAACAATTCCCAAGTGACAATATCTCTGAGTCCTCTTGGATTTTGGAGAATACTAGCGCTATAGGTTTCCAGTGAATCTTCAGAGGCCAATAATAAGCATAAAAGTAATCGGGAATTAAATAAAGAAATCAAAGGCTCCCTTGAGGCGCACATGTTAAGAAATGAATGAATAATTAATTGAGTACATTGCTGAATCATGTCTGACGACATCTATCACGTTGCCAGTTTATTTCCGATATCCTGGATGTCCTATTTTTAAAATTATAGCAGAAATTGGTAGTATGAAAGGGCATTGTTCTGCGCTGATCGGTTAATGCTCCATGAATTCGATTTCATGCAGTATTGTATAGGTGGTTGAAGGCATTTATAACCTCTACAATGACATGGAGGTGGCTTATCGGTGCAACATGTTTCTCTCAACACGTGTTTTCATCCTCTTAGATTAGTTTGCCACCATCTTGCACAAACCAGAGAGTGAAGGCTTTATGGACACTGAACGCTGGTGCAAGATCGAACTAAGGATAAATTTAGTGTATGATACAAGGCACTTCTAACCACTGCACTGTACTGGTCTCACAGAAACTAATAGTAAATATTAAAGACTAGAAAACAAAATTGCAACGTACTGAAACAATACTGGAATACTGGTTATAAAGCTAACTTAAATATTCTAAGATTTCACTATCCTTGGACTCTGCAACTTAGATATTAAGCGGTCTGTAACCACATGAATTCTATGCGATCCATAATATGCGAATACTGTGAATGAAACATACGATTCCAATGTAGACTAAATGAAATTCTGGTGTTTTAGAGCTTGCAAATTGATCTTTTTCCGTTTCATTTTCGTCGAAGCTCGTATTTCGAATAGAAAAATGATTGGGGAAGCGGTATGTAGTGCAGCATGATTCGATGATTTCCTACAGTGTGTCGTTGATGTTTCTGATCAAAAAGCTTACAGCTGCTAAGCAACAGGTTCTGAGTGGTGTTTCCTCTCACAGTGCGCTTTATATCGTCATACGTTGTCAATTTCCAGGGAGGCATTCTGGTTATGGAATGGTTGATCGTGTATGGCACAACGTGGGGTCTTCTAATCGCTGTCTTCTGCGAAGTGATGGTCGTTTCGTACATATATGGTATGAGCATACCAAATGAATACATACAGAACAGAGCGTCATCTCTGTCTAACCCAGGAATTCGTCAGTTTGTATGCGATCTAGACGAAATGCTGAGATTCAAGCCTGGCATATATTGGAGAATTTGTTGGATGATTCTGGCGCCGGCGTTCCTATTGGTACGTTCGTTGTGCTTACATTTTTTACCAGTGTTTGCTAATACTGAATTGGAGCATATGATAAAATAAACGTTAAAAAATAAAAAATAAAGTTCTCGGCGTTGATCAATCCCTGAGGGATGCGACATGCACTCGACTTCATTAAATGTCGTTGGACGTGATTGAATGCATATCTGGCCTTTACAATGACTCGCGGTGGCCTACCGATGCATCGAGCCAGTGCTGCTATCCTCCCAGACAAGTCTGGTACCATTTACCGTCTCCGGAGGGATGGAAGGTTTGATCGGCCATGGGCGCGGGGATCGATTTCACGTATGTGTCCTAGTGGCTCGTCCAACCACTGCGCCACAGGTGCCCTTTTACACGTTAACAAAGTTAATAAAGTTCAGAAACGCCGCAATGCCTGATCCAAGCGGTAATTTCAACGTTTTTCTAAACTATCGCTGACATTATTAGACATCACGCAGCTCTCAGCAGACGAATCAAGGTGAACTTAGCTTGGTTCCGAACGATTCTTCATCAGTAAAGCTGTGTCGGTAATTCTGTGTTATGTATATCCGATCACCATAACAAGTTTCTGTGCCCGAGAATAGCTATGCGTCTACAATTGCGCGTTCATCGGTGTGGTTCCACACAGTGTATCATTGAAAACGATCCCTAATTCTTATCCTCCAAGCACTTTCGCGATGATGCGCATTGATATCGATGCACACTCCTTTCATTGGCTTGTTTGCGGCACTTTGCAGTCAATCGATAGTGTGTCCAGCATAGATGTTGTGATCGGCGTTGGTCGAGAAAAGAACAATACACAGAAAACACTTTTCCAAACGAGATCATCGTCCGGTGTTTTGGCAAATAATTGAATGCTATTTGGTTTCCAATCACTGCAATGAATCCCAGCCGCATAGAGCGGAGAGATATTTAAAAAAAAGGAATGAACTCATCTTGAGCTGCAAAACACTTCCAATTCCTGACAGCAATGTGCTTTTGTGATGAACCACAGTAGCATATATTACGTGACATCATACATATCATACCTGCCCTTCAAAGCGATAGAACAAAGTTTTCTCTATAATTCTATCTTGTTTTCAACTCCTCTAGTTATCGAAAAATTATCGTCTTTTGTCGAATAAGTAGCATATCCGTAACGGCCAAGGATTGGACATCTTCCAAGGCGACCACCAGGGCAAAACCAGGCTTCAAGATTTCTGATCCCTATACTGTTGTGCAATTGATGAAGCCCCCAGTAACATATGGAAGGATGTTCGTATCTAGCATGCATATATATATATATATATATATATATATATATATATATATAGATAGATAGATAGATAGATAGATAGATAGGTATATGAAGGATAAAGCTCTCGGCGTTGATCAATCTGAGTGATGCGCCATGCACTCGACTTCGTTAAGCGTTGTTGGAAATGACTGAATGCATATCTAGCCTTTACAACTCTCGGTGGCCTACTGATGTATCGAGCCAGTCTTGCTACCCTCCCAGGCAAGCCAATTTGCCAACCACGGAGAGATGAAAGGCTTGGTGAGCTATGAGCGCGAGGATCGAATCCATGTGTACTGCAGGGCGCCTCTGACCACCGCGCCACTTGGGCCCTATCTATTATATATATTTATATATATATATATATGTAAAGAACAAAGCTTTCGGCATACATATATATACATATATATATATATATATATATATATATATATATATACATCGATTCATAAATGGTCATGAAGCATTCACAGCTGATATCAACCGTTAGAGTCGCAGTGTGTACAAGGGCTATCAATGATGAACATGGTCTCGCACGCTTCAAACGGCACGAGAAATACAGTTTTATAATAAATTAGAAACGACCGCCACTTCAGAAAAGTTTTAAATGAATGTGAAAATCGTACGAATTTATGAAAATATGGGAATCCTCTCTGTAGTGGAACTCTTCAATCGATTTCACGCTATTTTACGAGTTTTCCCTTTCTTTAGATGATGATTTTGTCATCATTCATTCACTATCAACCGCTAACCTATCAAGACTATGAGTTCTCACCAGTCGCCAATCTTTTTGGCATCTTTTTCGCTCTATCAGCCGTATCGGCAATACCACTTGTTGGTCTCTACATGCTGTTCAACGCTAAGGGAAATACACTAAAAGAGGTACGTGGAAGTGTTTTTCGATTATGAGGAGAAAATCAGACCACATTCGCTGTTTACGATTTGAAGCTTGGACCCCGAAGAAAAAGGAACTGAGGAGTGGACGAGATGCAACAACGTTCATGACTCCCATGAAGGAGTATTCATATCACGACAATGTGCTTCATTTCGTCCTTGTTCTTGTTGTGCTTCTTTTTATTCTTTAGTAAGACAGGCCGACATGTGGCGAAGAACTGATTTTTATATGGTTTTTTCCAATGTTTTAAAGACTTTCTTCTGTTCCACACATCGCATCAAAAATTTCGTTCACTAACAAAAAAGAATACAGCGGGATTATTTTGGAAATCATAGTGGATGGTTTCACATGGCAACTTGTCCTGGACTTAAACGGTAAGATTTTTCAGAAGTTCAAACAGACACTCATGCCATATCGCTGCAGACCGTCACAGAATGAGTATGCCCCTATTGGCGGAGCCCACGAATCGGATATCCTTCTGTGATAAAACCGTGTGTTCTGGTCCCAAAAATACGAAGACTCGTTTGCGTGTGTTGTGACGATGTTCAAAGATTTGAGCTCCGAAGGAAATCCTTCTAATTTGTTCTGATCAATGGATTTGCTTACTGTCTGAAACTCCGACAAGCGAACGTGTTTGTTCTTAAAGTAGTCTGACGTTTCTATAAAAAAAATTTATGAAGACCATGCGCATTCACTGCTTTCACTTTTTTCTTCTTTTAAATCGATACGTTATCGATTGCCTCTGCTGTTTACTTCTGATGTTTTGTAGAGTTATATGACACGTTTCGGTGTTCTGGTCGATACATTGCTGTTTCGGATTGAATTCCGTGCGAGGAGATGATCTCTTCGCAATGTTCTCATTTAGATATCTTCACTTTTTTTGATTTGAATTTGTAAGGTTGCAATAAAGATTGTCGCTATATGAAGTTTAGAGAAGTTAAGATTGTAATGGCATGGTTTGTTAATAAATTTTCCGCTTTTAAAGTATCTTTATATGCTCTCGTGTTCGCTCGTCACTTTGACGACAATAGCTGCTATTCGCAGCAAGCGGAATCAGAGGACTGTCGCACCAAAAGGGCTGCATACATTACATACATTACATAGATACATATATTACATACATACACACTTGCGTACATGCACACTTGCATACATACATACACACCCGCATACATACATACACACTTGCATACATACACGCTTGCATACATACACGTTTGGGCACATACGTTGCACATATACACAGTGTATACATACATTGAATACATACATTGGATGCATACAGTGCATACATATATAAATACATACATTTCATAGATACATGCATTCCATACATACATTGCGTACATAAATACATTGCCTACATAAAATGCATCCACATTTTGCAGGCCTACATACATTGCATATATAAATACATTCCATAGATACGTGTATCTATGTGGTACATGTATATATACAATGTATGTATGTCTGCATGTGTTTACGCAATATATGTATGCAATGTATTTATGTAATGTATGTAATAACTGTACATATGCCATATACTGATGTATGACTTCCTTGATTGTCATTCAATTCGGTTGACATACGTTTGTCGATTTCCCTCAATTTTACATTTTTTGGATGCTCTATCACAGTAATGATGGCTGTACCGAGTGTTTAGCAAATTCGAAACCCTTCAATGCTTCGCCATCAATAGCAGAAGGACCTCTGCAACCTCCCTCATATTCGAGGTCGAATTGGCCAAAAAAATTTTTGAGGCCGACATTGCACAGACGTTCGTTGACAGTTCCTTAACTCCATATTTCATTAGTTTTGAAGCGTTTGGCTGCATTGCGTTCAAGTTTGAATTCGTAGATTTGGATCTGTCGAAAATCCCGTTTTGATATCTGAGATCCTAAAGAGATGAATGAAAGGATAGAGCTGTCTGCATTGAAGAATTCCTCGGGGATGCGCCATGCATTCGGCTTCATTAAGCAACGTTTGAAGTGAGTCACTGCATATCTCTCATTTACAATAACTGGCAGTGGCCTTCCGATGAATTGAATCAGCGCTGCTATCCTCCCAGACAAGTCTAGTGGAATTCGCCGATTCCGGAAGGATGCAAGGCTTGCTGAACTAGGGGCGCAAGCATGGATCCCATGCGTGCGTCGCAGGGCGATTCCGACCGCAGCGCCACACGCGCCCTTTCGCGTCTGAAATCCTAACCCTCTACATTTGTGAAAAACCTGATTTTTCTTGTAACCTTATAATATAAAGCGAAAGTTCACAAGGACAATCTGCTAATGATATTTAATAGTACCGCATTGGAAAAAAAATATTGCAGAAACAAACACAAGAAAGCGAAATTGTAAACAACACATTAATTTGCTAGCAACGTAGCAATATTACGCGATGTTCAGGTGGTCCGTAGCGCAGCAGGTGTTGGGCTTCGAGAGTCGAACCGGTACGCGGCGTCGACTGACGAACGGACCAATCGCTGCATTGCTTCAATGTTGTTCATTCTGTGCTCGAAGACAGTTATCTGCATGTCCGCACGTTTATAACATGTGATCTTCCAGAAAACCCACCAACACTGAATCAGAATTGGTGTTATTTTGGCATCCAAGTTCCAAGAAGGTGAGAACGTGTACTGCGGTATGGATCGACTACGTAATGGACCAATTCAAAAATGTTCCTCGGATCGACTTTCTATTAACCTCGGCACTGGATTATTAATTCGTCGTTTTCTTTCCCAGCAATGGCAAGATTGTTAAAAAAAACATACGTTTACTACCATACGATAACACACATACAACACAACCGTAGCTGACGTTTCGGCAGAATCGTCTTCTTTAGATTCGCTTTTTCCACCTGTCTTCCACCGAGGAAAAGCGGCTCTGAAGAAGGCGGTTCTGCCGAAACGTCGGCTACAGTTGTATTGTATGTGTTTTATTGTATGGAAGTAAACGTACGCTGTTCAACAGCTTCGCGATTGCTGAGAAAGAAAACGACAAATTTGAAATATGTTCTTTGTTAATCCTCTTTTCAGCCAATACTTGTATTGCTATGAATCTTTATCCGTACTTCGTAGTTCGATTGTTTTCTTTTCTTTCTTTCTTTTCTTCTTTCTAACACAGAAATTGACGGCCTGCTGGCTAATTTTCAATGCCGCGAGCATTAGCTGCTTAGGAGTGTCTTCGTCGCAGTTTTTCTACATGATGTACGCAGAAACTAGTAATAAACGATCTCTTTACTCGGTTTTTACGAAAATTGGGAACATAATCGCCAGTATGCGGAGAAAAGTGGCAGAGCAATTCGATTGCCTTTCTCAGAAGACGGAAGTCTTTAGCGATCACATGGAAAGGAAGTTACGAACAGGTTGGTGTTTTTGTCACTTTTGTCCTACAGGTTTTGAATAGCAGGCCACAAGAATGATTACATCGCAGCTTATCCTACCAGCGTTTTTCCTGACATCGTCATTTATTGCGTGTGTGGATTGTGATGCCGAGAATAGAAAAACGGGTGAGTGTTTCATCTGATTTACTTCTGTGAACATTCGTGTCTTTTTTTTTCACAGATTTCCGCATTTAACACAGCTGCTCTATACTGTTCTATCTATCGTGGTTGGCCAGTAAATTTTATAGCCAGAAAGGACGGTAGCCAATGGTTTTACAACTGGTAGATCACCCAGAAATGTTAAACAGTCCCATTCATAACAACGCTGCTCTGACGAAGGCGAAACCGCCGAAGCGTTAGATATAATAAAGTGTGTTGTAGAACAGCGCTTCTTCACTGGGCGATCTTAATTCTTTGTGGAACAGTTACTGCCTGTAGTTTTCTTGCATTGTTACCATATCGTTGCTTCTTCTATTATTCAGCCAGTTCTACTAAATTCTCAGCTTCAAATTTCTTCGAGTAAGGCGTGCAGCGAATTTGCCATGCAGTAATATATCAGGCAATGTAGTTATAAATTTTAGCGTCTAGAGAACTTGAAAAGATTGCTCTGCTGGAAACTGTAGAAGAGAGGAAAATATTAAGACTTGCGAAACGACTTCTCCTTCTTTTTTGTTCTAATTCCAACTTGAAAATAGTTGGAGGTTGCCAAAGAAATTGTACATAAATATGGTGGGAAGCTGTAAAAAACGGAATACGTCCTTGCAAGGCTATACGGTAAGCAACACTGATCCCATAGCTTCCATTTCAACGCCGTTCTTAGGCAAGCATTGTGTTCAGGTCGACTTAAAAAATCAGCGACTAATCAGCCGCTTTCTTCGAAGACACCACATACAAAAAATTCTAATAATGTTTCTATTGTGGTACTGTGAAGATGAAATCTACTCCATAACCAGTTTATTTTATTTCGGGCACGGTATGTTAGGACAGGTTATTGTTTATTATAAATTCTTCAACGTTTCCACTTCCCTTCTGTTCGCTGTCAGTGGAGAGTGCATCGAAAGTGAAGTTGAAATCGTCCATTGTCAACATGGTTCATGCCGACACTATTCGGCTCCGGCCAATAATTCCCTCTATCCTTCAAGGTGTTTATTTTGAGTCGTAAGGAGTCGACGGGTGCAGGTGCACGACGAATGTGGGTGCACGACTACGAGGAAAACAATTTCTTCAAACTCTGTGGAACCTTGGTTACACGTGGGACACACCACTCTCAAAACAACATGCCGAGCAATGGAAAAAATAGTCGAAAATCTCAACGGATTCGAAACCTGTATTCCACGATGTGTTGCTCAACTCGATCTTCATACCAAAGTAATCCTTTTCGCAGACGCCAGCAGACAATGTATGGCTACTTGCGCTTACTTGGTATCAAATAATCACTCATACCACCTTATGGATAAATCCAAGCTACAATCAAGCAATTACCCTACCATTATTCCAAAACTTGAGCTAAATGCTGTAGCTATGGCAGTTCGGCTAGCTCACTCGATACACACAGCCTTGAAAAACGATGTATCCATCGAAGAGATACTAATTTTCTCTGACTCCGAAATCGCACTAAGCTGGATACGATCACGAAAGTTAGATAAGTTAGTAGGTGTACTGGTGAAGAACCGCGTCAGAGAAATACGACAAATAGAAAAGGCTTTAGAAAATCTCATCCAGTTTGCACACATACCTACGGAACAGAATCCGGCCGATTGCGCAACTAAAGGGCTAAATAAACGTCAGTTCAAGAGCCATTAATAGTGGAAAGAACCGGATTTCATTAGACAATCAAATTGGCCGAAAGAAATCAAACCGTTCAGAATACCACCAAAAGATGAAATACACTACAACTCCACCGTAACAACCACTTATGACCAACCAGAGCTGGAATTGCTGGATTGGTCACGACATAATCGACTCAAAACAGCACAAAGCGCAACAGCATATGTCCTCAGATTCCTCAATGGAATAACAGCGAAATTAAAGCCTAGATTACGAGAAAGAACTCGTCGCACTATTCCAGAGATCGAGTCAGCATCCTCACAATCATTATTGCAGCAATCGAATACGACGCCGCACTAGGAGTAATGATACGAACCCCTTAATATCGTTAAAAATCAATATGGATCTTCTGGTGTAAGCGACGATTAAACAAAGCAAACATTCCACGTTCACAGAACGACAACCAATACTAATTCGAGCAAAAACACGATTATTCGAAGTTGTAATAAACGACGCACATTTACCACTTCACTGCAGCACAAGTCAAACAATGGCGAATGTTAGAAAACGATTCTGGATTCCAATTCTACGTCGTTTATCAAGAGCAATAAGGAAATGCGTCGCATGTCAAAGAATCAACAACCTGCTCTATAAATACCCAACAATGGATGACTTACCCAAAAGACGAGTAGTAAGATCACGACCATTTGAACATGTTGGGATAGACTATTTTGGACCGTTAACAATGAAAAATGCAGAAGAGACAATAAAAGGCTACGGAATAATTCTAACATGTATAGCTACAAGACTGTTACACCTCGAATTGGTTCAAAAGATGACAGTGGACGAACTCCTACTAGCACTTCGGCGATTCTTTGCTAGAATAGGTGTGTGTATAGAGAACTTCTCTCTTAAAAAGTTCTCTATCTATCTAAATAACAGTATTTGAAACCCAAATATGGCCGCTTTGCACTCGCACATCAAACACCGCAATGTAACCTTTTCTAATCTTCTCGATCAATTATGTTCAATGTCTCGATCAACTAAAATGCTCCCCATCGCGATAATGTAAATGAAATCTTAGCTTGGCCGAAACACGGCCAGTCTGTAACCCTCATCACCTCAGCATACTGTCTCCACCTCCGCGACATACAGTCTCCTCCCTCCGCCCCCAGCATACTGTCTCCCTCAGCCGCCGCGCCGGCCGCGAATAGACGTGGCGCGGCATCGCTTACGGCTAAGCAAAGGCTACTTCGTTGTAATCTCATTTTTATTGTTAATATTGTGTTAATGGTATAATAATGTTTGAATGCCATTGCCTCATTGTTTAGCCTCACTTCACTACAGGCCTTAGCACCTCAGAGCTCTAACTTGTGTCATTCCTCTACCATTACTTCTCTATCGTTACTATCATGTTATTAGTGTTGTATTAATGTATTAAAGGTTTAATTACCCAAGTTTGAGGTTGGAAGACCAATCACAACAACTAAAAGACCTGCGTGGCTAATATTCTACATCAATCTGAACCGCTACACTTCGCCGCTAACCATTTCGTTACAGTGTGTACTAAACACCATTACTTCTGACAATGCACCCAACTTTACTCTTGCGGAACAAATCTTGCGAACCGTCATTGTTCCAATAACCAATGATGCTTCGTTTACATAGACAATGGCAACGAAAGCAATCACGTGTAGAACAATAACACCATATGCTCCGTGGCAGGGGACATTTTATGAACGTCTGATAAAATCTGTAAAATATTCCCTTTACAAGGTATTGCGAAAGAATTCCAACAACATCACAATTAGCAACCCTTCTAGTATAAATCGAGGGTTGTTTAAATAATAGACCACTCACATACATCGAGGAGAACCCCGATGATGTAGTAATCCTGCGACCAATCGATTTCATACAACGCGATATGTTACTAACATATCCGTTTGAGTCCGCAAGTTTTCAAGAGGATGATGAAGACTATATTCCTTCATACGAACTAGCTCTAATACGTACTAGACAGCAGGCAACAGCAGATGTGACATCAAGCCACAAATTAACCGAGCAATATTGGACTATCTGGAGCCAACAATACCTCAAAAGCCTTCGAGAAACGCATCTGCTTAGCTTCGATGAAAAGAGGGAAGCCACAATCACTCCAATGATCGGCACAGTAATACTAATTTACGTATCGGTCCTACTTCGGAATGCCTGGGAATGGGTCGTATCGTAAAACTCCCACAGTCGGAGAGTGGAGCCATACGTGAAGCACATATCAAATTACCTAACGGACGAATCATCAGAAGACCAGTTAATTTACTCATACCGTTAGAACTAGGACACGCAGAACCAAATGAAACTCCTAACGCTGCCAATGTTTCCAAATCAACACAAAGTCTCGATGTAAAAAACGAAACTGACCGAGAAGGAAGCTCAGAACAACGTTATCACTTACGACCGCGATCACGTACTGGTATCGTTCACTCACTTCAATCATCAGCGTCTAATGATCAACAGCACCTTAATCAAGACAATGTTGACCATGAATTGCATTTACCCTCATACGATCTCCAGCAATTTCTGTCCTATGATAATGATATCCTAATAGCAATACTAGAGGTATATCCACCAAACATTACCTAAGATATACCTTATCTCTAGTCCAGCTAACCGTAATCACGGCAATACTACTATTATCGGGATGTAATGCCTTCATAGCTTACGACTGTACAATAAGCGGTGTCAACATAACTGAAGTAGATCGCACCTCTATTATTCCATGTGACATTCACTTCGAGACTACAAGTCAAACGAAGTCCATCAGACAACTTATAGAGATCGCAGAAAAAATCGATGTTAAAGTCACTCTATGCAAAGTCCGTACAAAACGTCATATTGATTATTGCGAAATGCACAGTCATACAAGCTAGGTCACAGGAGGCATTGCTGACTATATATACGAATTACGACGACCATCATGCGATGAATTATGGCTTAGCGGATCATTAAGACTGTCAAACAATATTATAATAGCAGATATCAAGAAAAATACTGTCAGTATGCGATCACTTACGCTAGCAGGCTACATAGGACCTGATGGAACCTGTAAAGGAACTACGTATAGCGACCAATTCGGATCGTGGCGGAATGTAGTAGCCCAACGAACCATAGAGATAAGTCTCAAACAAATCGTAGCGCCTGCTAACACACAAAAGGATTAGATACATATGCCAGGAGGTCTTGCGTGTAAGTGGTCAACAGAAACGTGCATTGACTTTGAAGCAGGAGAAGCATACTGGAATAAAGTGCCGATTTCCGGATGCTCACCGCATCGACATGCAGTAATTTACGAAGGATCTGCTATAGTTCTCAACACAACTCATACAGATCCTTTACAGACCATAAGCATCAGATATACTGTCGAACAGGAGGATAAGGTATTCGCATTACGTAGAACAAGCCCTTATCAAGGATGTGCAATTGGGGCATGGATAACGGAACGTCCAAGACTAATAGTTGCCCATCAATTAGAAGGAGGATTTTTCTTCCAAAAATCAGAAACATCTCCTGTAATATTTGATCTCATGCTATACGTAAATGCAAAATTCGTGTATTTTGATCGAACAAGGGCACGAAATTTCAACGCCCTTAGCAACAAAGTAAAGATGTGAATTGGAACGATGCACACGTGAAACACAACTAGCAATAGTTTCCTTATACCCCGACGAATTTGTCTATTTATATATGGGAGGACCTGGCTACATCGCTAATGTAAGGGGAGAGGTCATCTACATATCTAAATGTCCCATGGTAGATGTCTCAATACGACGCGTACATCGCTGCTATCTAGAACTCCCAGTTACGGCGAATAATAAATCCAGGTATATGCTCCCAAGAAGTCACGTTCTTACACCCCCAAGGAACTAAAATAAACTGCAACCCAGTACTAATGCCAAAATATCATATATTCGCATCATGGATAGCAAGTGGTCGAGAAATTCACGCTACAGAGCTCCCCGAGACCATACGTCTTATGCGAGACCACACCTTTTCCCGTACCTCCCTAAAGTCAATTGCTATAGGAGGAATATAATCACAATCAGAAGTCGATGTGGGTCATGGCCCTCAGATGGACCATATAAGAGTAGATCGATTAATTACGGATAACTCGAAAGACCGACTTTCTATAAACCTCGGCATAGATAGTTGATATATTTATTTATGTGATCTTATAGACTGATCTTCTTAAGCTGACGCGAGGTTGGTACAGATCTTCGTTGTCGTTGTTTTTGATGTTATTGATCGATAGCTGACGTTTCGGCGACTTCGCCTTCCTCAGAGCCGTGATGTTACGTGCGGAACTGTTCCGAAAAATGTTCCGAAAAACAACGAAGATCTGTACCAACCTCGCGTCAGCTTAAGAAGATCAGTTTATAAGACCACATAAATAAATCAAATCGACTCTCTACAATCACGCCTAATCTCTAGCATATGGGGCAACTTTGTTAAACTGGGAACCATTTCAGCCGGAATCCTTGGAAACATCACTCTTCTCAAACTTCTATTTTGGATCTTAGAGATAGCACTTAACTCAAAGTTGCTATACGATCTCTATGGTAAAGGTTTTAAAATGCTAGCAGCAATATCAAACGGTTTGACAACATTCACGCTGTATAAGAAAACTATATCTGCCAAACGTGAACAAAACAAGAATCCTGAAGAACAATCACGAGATACTCTCTTACGTAAGGACGATGCAGAAACATCTAACACCCTTACTCTCCAAATAAAATCCTTTCCACATGGAGACATTACCCATTACTAAACACTAACAACGATGAGATACCATAGATTCAAACAACGAAAATTCGCTATTATTCACCATTTTCTACACTATATTTCACCACATGCACTTCATATTATATTCCTACATCTTCCACCATACTACACCTATCCTATCCTATTAGTATTCGTTTAACTGCAACTCTAAAAGACGTCTTTATAAGAAAAAAACAACGCCAATTACCCACATCCACCACTTCATTCACTCGTCAATATTCTCAACGCCTCAGTACACATTCACAACTTCTACGTCCGCAAACTTTGATCACACTACTGACATCGCTGTAATCACACGCCAAATGAAGACATGCTACGAGATCTCCGAGATGCCCGTTTAACAAACCCTACCATCTACCAATAATTCCAATCGCAGAACGGAACAATCCAGTGTATTCACGATTAGACACAGCGATCAATCGATTAAGAAGGCAGGCAACGCTTATGCCCTTGACAGTCTGTTTACTAGACGAGTAAGCTTATCCGAAAAAATGTTTTAACATTTCACTTAATGTACTGAATGCCTTTCAATGACCAGTACCTGGTGAAACATCTGTGTTTGATAAGCTGTCGAATTAGTACAAGTAGTACAAAAAAACTAATACATTACGGTAAAATAAGATCCGGAAAGGAAGTTAAACATGTACCCCTCTTTCTCAAGAAAATACGTTAAGATTAACTACCTGATCTTTGCGGTGATAGCTAGGCAACGGTCGAAACACAGCAACTAGACGAGCGCTATTAGTTCCAGTATCAACCATAAGTGTTAAGCCCAACACATTATACTTGGTCGGCCCGTCCTTACTGTTGTGTGGGCCCCATCATAATCTCCATTTTTTTCGGAGTTTTGCAGGTTTAGCAATAGTGGTTCCCTGGAATCTCGAAGTGAGCCAGGTTAAAGTCTGCCCCGTGTCTCCCAGTTCTAGATGTAAAACAATTGTGGTGCGGATGGTGAATAACAACTAGAATTAGTTCAACAGGAACTGCCTTCCTAATCCTCACAAACTAGTTGCGTGTTCGATGCTAACCTATTTATAATATTTGGATAGTAGGAGGGCTCGTCTTCACAGTTGTTCGGGATTCAGCGTAATTTCCACTTTTTTAAGGATTTGATGATTTAGCCCAATGTGTCCTGGCGTACCGAGGTCAGCCAAGCCAAATTGTGGATCAATGCGAGATTTGCACCATGCAACTAGTTTGATACCAGGAAGGTTATGGATCTTGGCACTGGTTTACTTTCTGCTAACTTCCGGATGAAATGAAACGCCGGACTCCTCAGCTCGAGAGACCCAAATGGAATGAATCACCCCGCTGTAGATCGCAGCGCGACACCTAAGAACACCTCCCAGCTAAGATGAGGTGGTAAACCTTTGGAAGGGTTAACTTTCTAACCACCCTAAACTCTAGGAACCAAAAATATGTTAGAAATCACTGAGTCCTTGGCAGATATGTGACATAAGTTTACAAAGATGCTCAAAATAAGGAACATCTGGACGACTTTGACGCAAGTACGAGAAATCGCTTCACCAACAAAAGATGCTGCAGTTTGTGTTACACCGTTTTCCCTAGGATCATTTACACAATACATGCTTGAAGACGATTAATTCGTAGGAACAGAGATCCACTCGAAAGGTGGAGTATAGAGAACGTTCTTCACGAACACTGGAATGTTCTTTTACTTACATACTTGGATACTTGGACGATCCGTCTTCACGAGCTGTGCGGACCCTAGCATATATGTCACTTGTTCCTTTCTCTCGCAATCGGGGTCTTGTTCGAGCATGGTAGTGCTTGCGAATCTCATACCGTGATCTGTAAAACAACTGCACCTGCGGGTACAGCTGATTAGCTTTGTTTACGAGCACGTCCGCCCAACGTGTAGATGGTCGTCGAAGGGTACGTTTGCAATCTCTTGGAGTCCACTCTACTGTTCTTTTCGTCCATCTGTCGTCTGTTCTTCTCATTATGTTCTTCTTAGCAATAGGAATATTCTCTATGTCAAACACTTCGAATACTACCACAACGTTGCTGAGATATTTGCAAAACTCTGGACCGCAGGTGTCTATGGTGGGGAACGAACGCGCTATTGTCCTTTCCGGGGAGTAACGCGTTCACCACCACACCATGCGGGTCCTTCGTTTCGCCTGTCTCTCAGCTATTTGTATCGACCTTTGCCACAGCAATCACTCGCGTTACTCCCCGGAAAGGACAATAGCGCATTCGTTCCCCACCATAGACACCTGCGGTCCAGTTTTGTAAATATCTCAGCAACGTTGTGGTTGTATTTCGCTTAGTACCCTGCCGCGAAATTATAGTAGGCAGAAAATAAAAAGGTATAACTTCGAGTACTATTCCGAAACCGACTTTCCTTGAACCTCGGTATCGCTAATCAATATGTATTCTTTCTTTGATGAGCTTACACGAGGTTGATAGTGATATTTATTTTCGGCTAACGTTTCGACGTCTTCGTCTTCCTCAGAGCCGATGATCCGAGTCGATGGTCTATGCTTGTTATTCGTCTCGACGTGACAGCTTCACCTTCGTGTCGAGTTAGGTCTTCCTCAGTGAGCCATCTCCTCGAATGAGGCATCATCACTCAGTGATGCCCTTTTATACGCGATGCTGATGGTCGATATAATGATAATGTCCGGTGATAACAACTTGTTTTTCTTCCAGACATACATCATTGCGCACATCGTGCAGAAGTCGGTGTTGTTATCAGCTAGCACAAAGCGTTGTAATATTATCATTATATCGACCATCAGCATCGTGTATAAAAGGGTATCACTGAGTGAGGATGCCTC